GGTTGGCAGTGCTGCAGCCAATGCTGGTGCAGTCAACCTTGAGGACAGGCCTTTGTGGAAGGATGTTGGTTTTTACAACTTTACCTCATTCATATATATATATATATATATATATATATATGTTTTTCTTTCATTGATACATCTCCATCTTAAAATACCATGTATGCCTGGAATTTTTTGTGGAGGCTGCAGATAAGACACAGGGCTTGCCCCAGGTCTAATCGTGATTAATTATGATCATAATTAACTGTGATTAATTCGATTTTAATTTTTCTGTTTATGCACCTGCTGTGTTATGCAATTCTAGCATCTTTAATGTGTGATTCTGAAACATTTTTTTCACTCCATATCTGTAGGCAATAGAAGGAGAACATTTCTTACAGCATGTATTTCTGTATATATATTGTATATATGTGTGTTTCAGCAAATATATATTAAATTACCATTTTACAGAGTACAATATTGCGGCATGAAATACAGAAAATAGAGAGACAACATTTATTCTATTCCCTGGGGGAAGTTGACTTACATTTTCTGTGACCTGGCAGCTGCTCCTCTACTTTGTAAATGGAGAGTCGACCCACGCCTCCGCACGGAGACCCTCTCTCAACCCGACATGCCAGACTACAGTCCTCCTCCGGAGCCCGTGGGCTACTGATGCGGTTCCCGCAGTGGCATTCAGCTCCATACTCCAGGCCTGCAAACTGGTAACCACTAACACACAACGACACTTTGCTATTATCACAGATGGGGCAGACTATAACCTGCAGCTATCACCTCGGGCTACACGTTGCCACAGGACATTAGTTAACAGTTCAAACTTATTAATTAGCTAAGAATTGCCAGTGCTGACTCAGCAGTACTGTCAAAGTCTGTCAATCCTCCTTCTGCACTCATCTGACCGTGTAATGCCTTTTTCGAGCAGAAACTGCAATACCCTCTGATCTGTACTCCACACATCAAAGCTGTAGAGCCTTAGCCCTCTTCCCCTCTCTCCCCCGTCCTCTCTGAGACCTCATCAAAACTGACCTTTTTATATTCACTACGTCCTTTGAAGCCTCCCTTATAAATTGCTTTGGCATTTTACTTTTTCTCATTGTCGTAATTGACACGCTTAGGTAACAAGCATTACTTCTTGGTGCTTCCTACTGTATGTGGAAGGGAAGGAGGTGGAGGTAGGGATGGAGGTGAGTGTGATAGAGGGTTGTTGATGTGAGCACCGGTTCCCAGTCAGAATCCATCCATCTGTCCTCAGCTGTTCTGCTTCAGTGGGACCACACTGCACCTCTGCCGCTAACACGCTGTCTGAAACGGAATTATTCAAGTGGGTCATTTTCTCCAGAGTGTTTTCTCCACGGTCCACCTGCCTGCACACGCTCACATCGCCTCGTGTGTTTGAGGAGTCACGTCAATGCTGCTAACTTAGCTCACACTGACCCAATAAGACGTGATAACACCGTGGCCACAGGGAGGCACATATTTAACCACTGATTTATTCAGCGACTGCTGTAGTCAGCTCATTAGGCTTTCTGACACACACCCACCTCCCTCCCTCCTTCTGCAACAGATCAAGCCTCCTCTGTCCTGCCCTGCTCCTCCCTCTCCTCTTTCTCATCTCCCCCTCATCTTTTACTGTCACCCAGCCACCTGGCTCTCCGCTGCCACCGCACAGAGGAGGCATTCATGGAGGAGAAGGAGATCCAAGGTTTTACTTAAACAGCGGGCCTTCTGTGGTGCCTTCAGAGACAGGTCGTGAGCACATTACCTTTCTGAGCAAGTGTCCTGACACAGAGAGCTGGTCATTTTACGCAGGTCATAAAGCATGGTTCCTCCCAGGGCTCGGTTAGTGGCATTGTGCAGAAAGCAGCCGATGTAGGTTCCTGCAGTGTGTGAGACAAAACAAAATAATTCTATTTCTTAGTTGCCAAAACCTCTGAAACGTACTGCTTATGTACTGTAAATAAAACTAGTACACATTGTAGTGACTAAGAGTTTACCATGTGCAGATCTTTGTCCTTTACTCTATTTGACTGTTAGGTCCATCTCCGTTTTAACAGTACATTATCTTGTGACTTTGCCAATGTCCAGTTCTGTTGAGCAAAACGTGTAGCTCTGTGTCTGGTTTTATTGTTATAGTTTAACTCCAGTTGTATTGTAGTTATTGCTCACTTCAATATATATTTAAACATCATCTAAAATCATGCAAACTGGTACAAATCCTCCTTTTGTAAGAGCATAAAAAAAGATTAAGAAGTGAACATGCAAAATACAATTATGTAGAAGTAAATTGTTTAACATCAGCTGATTGCTCTTCTGCATTTCTAATAAGCATCTAGGCAACAGGGGAAAATACAATGTCGACCAGCAACATAAAAATAAGGCCCAGATAATAATAATACTACATATTTGTAGTAGTATATGTGAGACACAATTAAACCAATGGATATCCCAGTTTCTTTATCAAAGTGGAATATCTCAAACCACATTTTTATTAGGTACTCTTTTTTTTTATTTATCCCAGCAACCATGCATTTGCCCAATGTAACGTATCGGCATACCTAGCTTTAGCAAATGGGATGTAGCAGTTTACTGAGGCTTTGAAGTGATGACTTGTTTATGTGCATAATCGCAGTCCTGATTCTGTTACTTTTGAGTCTATATAAACATATTTACTGTGCTCAAATAATTCCACTGCAGCCTTTTCATCTTTATCATCACTCCATGTTGTTCTTTGAATTAATTTACCTGTCAAAATTTAAACTGATACAATTGAGATTTAATAAAAAAAATGTGATTCCTAGTGCTGCTGCACTGCCACATCAAAGTCTGCTCAGCTGTCACATAAAAGTCTACTGTGAACCTTTGGAGAAAAGCATTTACATTTATTTCTAATGTTGGCTTCATTTGTGTCAGATTGGATCAGTTTACAGGCGTCAGTGATTGCTCCTCATTCTTAGTTGTAGAGATTTTGTCTCTTGGCAGATAGACTTCCTTCTTTTTTCTGTGCTTTAAAGGTTTACTTCGGCATCTCTAGTCTGTATTTGTATTCAGGGATTTTTTTAAGAATACATTTTCAAGCTGGTGTTTTTTTTTTGTGTGTGCTTTAAAACAGACTGATGCCAGCTGGTCATAGAGAGGATTTAATGTGAGGCATTAGGACTGAGAAGATGAGGAATCAAGGTTCACAGACAAAATGGAAGTAAGCAATCGTCTGTGAAATTTCTGTCAGGCATCGCCATATTGAATTCATGATTCAATCAGGCGGCTTTGTCCTCTGAACCCCGTCCAGCCTGCTGGGCTGAGAGGAGGCTGAGTCACCAGCCACCACGTTCTCACAAGACTGATGCTGGAGAGCATCGGCAGCTACGGGTCGAGCTCAGCTGGAGGTCAAGTCTATAGAACGTATGGCCGTTCTGGAGGCGTCGCCTCTATTGAATTGCAGGCAAAAATGCAAAGGAGAGAAAAATAGAAATGATCTCCATCATGTATGGAATTTTCTTCTCGTCCTATACACAAACACAGGATCATGGCTGTGCTGGAGCTGTTTATTCAACATCAGGTTATGGACATGATATGGATCGTCTGTTTCATAGGAAGTGGTCAGTGGTGAAAGGCCGAACCATTCTGAGGTGGTGTCGAATTTTCTAGATGTATAACGAGATTAAAAACGCCCTATAAAGTGATTTTATTGGAGGAGGATGTGCAAGGTCATCACTGAATATCAAGTTTTTTTTTCAGATTTTAATTTTGCAAATGGACTTTTAATTGTAACCAGGATTTCCAAAGACATATTCCCTGATAAACTACAATGGTCACAGCCATAAGTCGGGTCTCCTGACCTCTTTGTTAACTCCATGATACAGTTTGTGTTTTTATTTATTCATTGCTTCATTCCTGCCATGGTAGATTACTTCATACTGTATCAACTGTTCTCACATGTCAGGTGACGTCACACTGATGTGAGCAGTCGCTTTAAGTACCAGTGCCTGCCAAATGGATACATATAAATAAATATGAGTAAATGCAAAATGTAAAAATGTCTCACAGTTACAGCTGCAGGAGTCAGTGATTCCCACAATAGACACAATTTCACAGAAATGAATGTTTCTGGCTATGTGTTGTTGCCATAACTATGTGCTGAAGGAGAATCGGTAACAAACTCTAGTTTAAAGATCAAGAAACAAATGAATTAACACCACTATAGTCCTAAAAATATCACTCTGGCTTATCTCCTCAGAAAAAAACGGTTAAATATTTCAGGTAATGTAACAATATATACAATTTGCATTAGCTAATAAATATTTCAGTGGATTAATTAAGGAACATTGTTGCCCTGAGTTTTATCATCGCGGGCAGCTCGGCTCTTACACAGTTAAATGTAAGATGTTGTGTGTAAGGCTTAAATCTGGGATCTGCTGGAATTTAATCAACGTTTTGTCTCACAATAGTGAACTGATTAGTAGTTGTGAATTGACTTTTTTTTGTCTCATTTAAAAAAAACATGTGTGACATTAGTGTATAATTACATCTAGAGCCACTCAAAAACGTTATGCAGTTAAATCCAATTCATTCAATTTTCATTGTTTTAACCTGATTGTCTTAAGTTGTTTAATTCTATGCTTAAACGATGGATGGCTTAGATACAGTGTATATATTTTATTATTATTATTATTTTAAATTTACAACTACAGTATATGTACAAGTTTTGCCTACACAGCATGCATTGAGGGTCATATGTGAAATGTTAAGGCTGGGTTTTAAAATAATTGATTCTCTGATCAATATTAATCTACATTGGGAAGATCTGATATTGATTGATAATGTCTTTAAATCAATCTTGGAATATACGTGTTTTCCGTCTTCTCTGCACTTGCAAAACACCACACACTGCAGTACAGTATATATAATGTCAGTTATTATTCTGTAGAATTTTATTCTTTTAAAAGGCTGAGCTTTAAAACAAATGAGTATTTATTATTTATTTAGTTAAACAATAAATAAAGTCACAGTCTTTGGCAGTTTTAGTCTTGCATCCAAGATAATTTATTATGAAAATAAATCAGTCTTATTGGACTGGTATCCAGGCGGTTGGAAGTGAATTGATACAGAAAGTCCACTGTAGTTCATTTGACGTCCTGCCTACCAGTTACCTGGCAACTTCAATGTTATCACAGGGCTGTGATTGATAATTAAATGAAACAAACCAGGCGTTCTGACATTTTAATTAGTGGGATCTAGAGATGGATTACTAAACCAGAATAATGTCAATTGCCGTAAAGCTTTAATTGATTATCGCAACAGTTGGCAATTATTTTTATCTCAAGTGAGATCAGAAAGGAATAAAAGTACATCTGCCATTAAGCACGTCATAAAAGTATACAGTGCTGCTAATTGCTCTTGGGTTTCTCAGCTTTATTCTATAAAACCTTCTGTTCCTCAGCCAGAACATGTGACACAACTCACCCAGTGACTTGTTTAATCCTTTAATTCAGGACTCCGTGCCAAGAGGCTGCTATTAAATCGAATTCCTCTCCTGTCGGAATTTCCCTGCCCATATAGACTGAGAGACTGTGTTGTGTCTGTGCTCCTACAGGACAGTGTTATTCTATGCACCGCGAGAACAAATGTTCTACAGGACAGTGTTATTCTATGCACCGTGAGAACAAATGTTCAGCAGAGAACAACGTCATTGTATTATTCATTTCAATACATGGCAGAGTCATTGACGAGTTCCATTAAACAACAAAGTACATCTGCAAGGATATCTTGAAGAATTGAAGTAATGGTGATGCATCCTAGGAAAGAATACGCATTAGGAATATTATAGTTTTAATCCTTTTAAAATGTGTTTGTTTTTATTTCCCTGCCTGAATTCTTCCTCTCTGGGTTTGGAGAGGTTCACCGAGCTCCATCCTTTATCGACAGAATTCTGAGCATCTTAAAGCAAAATGTCATATAAATGTGTAATGAAGTACCTCTAAATGTACTAAGGTCACAGTCCTGCACTGCTGAGTGTAGAGACAGACCAGTTGTGAGTGTGCTGTTGAGGTTCCGCACCGAGAGTGTGTTACCTCGCCTGCAGGCCATTCCAGCTAAGAACATGTATCACAGAGTGGAACAACAAAGTTGTATATTTGTTTCTTTATTTATTATTTACGGGGGGAAAAACCCACAGTCCCAGACTCAAGATATTGTCACCAAGATATTTCAGTGTGGCTTATCTCCTTCCACAGTGTGGTTTCAGACAGCAGAGTGATGTCAGTGCTCAGTGTTTTTTTTTTAATAATATAATTCTTCTCTGTGCTTTAATGTAACAATACGTTACCTTGACTACTGATCCTCTGAGGCACTTAATTAATAAGAAAACCACATTAGCTTCTTTGAAGAGATCACACAACCACAACCTGCGTTTTGTATCTAAGAGGTTTTAGAAGTAGAGAGAATAAGACACAGAGATAAGAGACAACTGTGGTTCAGTTCTCTGCAGGGCTGTGGTTAGTGGTAATTGGTCATTAGTGCTTAGTTCATTTAACTAGCACTTCAGTGTTTTTATCCCCTTGCATGGACACTAATTAATGTAACGATGACATGTGGGGCACGGTGGTCACACGTTACATTGAGAGTGGTGGATGTGCTTTGTTAGCCTGCAGTCTGTCAAGCTGTTAGTAAATCTGCAGTGATGCTGATGAGACCACAACCCTGAGGAAATGAGGAAAAGAGATCCAGTAACAAGGGGTAGATATTTCAATTGATCTGCAGTAGGGGTGTAAGAAAATATTGGTACACTGAAATATTGCAGTATATTGGTACACGATACTGTAATTATATTCTACAGCACTGAATAGCTTTCTTTGAATTAACAATTAATATGCAAATATTCATGGAGTTGGTTTATTTTATTTTGCTTTTACTTCTTCTCTAGCGATTACAAATGTAGAATCCCTTTGTTCTGATTTTAGTCTTAACCTGATGTTAAACACTTAACAGAACTATGTGTTTACTATGCTGGGTTTTCCTACAATTAAGTTGTTTAAAACACACTCAATATATTGCAGTGCCTATAGTATCGCAGAGTATCTCTATATATTCTATCGTTGCCCCCTGTGTCATGATCGCTTTGCCATGTTCTTGCCAATACACAGCCCAGTCAGCAGGAGAGGTTTGATTTTTACCATGTTACCATGGAGAGAGCTTGTTGATGATGTCACTGGCAGATATTAAGGATAAAATCCACAAGCCAATTGGAGTAAATGCAAAACATTGAGAGCCAATTAAAGAGGAAGCCTTTGAGAAAAGTGTGTCTGGTGATTTGTACTTCTGCATAAGTTCAGTATGGACAGAGAATGTGTCCTCTCTAATACCAGTTTGTGAGGACAGTTGGCACTGTATACAGAAAGGTGTGCAAAGACATGTTCCTACTCCCAATAGTGGAAAAGTGTTTTTTAAAATGTTTTGCTGACTTGTGGTGAAGTTTTGCTTCAGAGTCACATTAGTTTACAGTCCACATCACCACGACCGGTAAAGTTGTGCAGCTAATGCTAATGTAGTGAACCAGTGTAAAGATTCAGGGATGCTGAGGTCAGGGCAACGCCATCAAGTGTTGTGAGTAAATACAACCATCAACAATGGCCCAAACTTTATAGTTATAGCAGTGGTTCTGATGGACTGGTCTAGACTTCAGGGCTTTCATCACAGACACATGACCTTTGATAGGTTTAAAAGGTCAAACATAGTGAAGAAGCTTGAAATGACACATATACAAATAAACAGCTTTCACTCATTTGAAATAGGTGAATAATGTGTAAAGTTACTTACCCTTGTGTTTGCTGCTTCTGTGCATGGACACTCTCTGCTCTGGACTGTCTGGCAGAAGATTGTGAAACCAGTGCCGGTGCAAGTGTTGAACCCCGAGGCTTCGTGGAGCGGGCCAGTGTCGCCCTGCTTTGGGTGCCCCTCCAGACGCAGACTGAAAAGAAGCCCATCTGGAACGTGTTCTGGTGGCCAGTTCCGCAGGCCTGAGAACAGTGGGGGGTGCAGCGATGGACAGCATGGGTGGCAGACCAGCAGGGTTTGTCTGGGCCAGTCTGACACTGGAGCGCTGTAGCAGCAGAATGCTGCCTGCCATCAGATAGGCTATACCCAGGCAGAGCAGCAGCATCTGAGCACGCTTTAGGAGGCAGTGCAGCTTACAGAGTGGCGCCACCATTCCCACAATCTTTTCTGTCCCTCACCTCAATGAAAGACAGATTCATGGATCAGAAGCAAAAACTTAAACTTGACACTGAGTCTGGCAGCGTCTGCCAAACATGTCGATCCTGTTTCTTCATTCTTCATAGCCAGCAGACAAACATTAGTAGCCAGAAGGTTGTGGTTGAAGAACAGAGGAGGAAACAATGTCCAGACTGTGGTCACTGGCTGCAAAACAATCCCAGAGGAAAAGCTAAGAAACAGAAGTAGAGAAAGACAGGGTTGTTTGAATTTAAAGGACAACAGTTCTCTGAGTTTGCAGAATCTGAATAACAGGGTTGAACTGAAATTGCTCGAGCTGTAGTGACTGCGCCGTTCACTTTAACATATGGGCTTGTGTTTTCCGTCTTGCAGCATCTCACAATGAATCCTTTACGCGTTCTGCTTCACTGCTTCACTGCTTTTATCTGTGCCATTTGTTTTAATTCTAAACTTTGCCTGGAGTTGTGTTCAGCAATGCCTGCGATTCTCCATCACTTAATCCTTTTTTTAGAGTGAGGGGGCGGGCAATTTAGAATGTGGACAATTCATTGTGTCCAATTAACCTAATCCTCCATGGTTTTGGACTGGCAGAGGAAACCAGAGAAAAACCCACACACCGACAGTACATGCAAACTCGTATACAGGAAGACCACCAGTTACCAGAGGGGGAGTGAAGTGGTGATCTTCTTGCTGTAAGGCCAGACCACTCACCACTTATTCACTGTGTGGACCCCCTTTTTTAAATCAATAAATGAAATGACTTTCTGCCTGTAGATGACAGAAAAAGAGAGTTTTTTTTATTTTATTCTAACAGTGCAGAGAGGAGAATTCTGGGCTAATTTCATTGCATTTTCGGATGATATTTAATTTAAAACTAGCAGTATCTGCCAGCTTCACAGCCTAAATCTCTGTCATTACACTGAAATGACATGGTCAGATTAAAATGAAATATCTGGAGATTTAAATTGGGCTGCTTATGAAATTGAAATTATCATAGCAGTGTGGAGAATCATCCGTGGAGGGACGGATCAGAGATAGATAAACAGGAGGCTGTTAAAAGTGCAGCTCTGTCCTGCTCCTGTCTATGTATTTGACCAGTTATCCTCCGTCTCAGATGCTGCTGGTTCCACTGGTTCGGTTCCTACAAACTCCAATGCAGCATCACGTATATGTAGTTATTTTAGAGATGCACTCACATCTAGTCATCAGCAGTGTTGGTGGCCGTCACACACACACATGAACGCACACACACACACGCACTCGTGCCCTTCAGCTCTACTTTCATCAGGCCCCACATTGTGACACTCTGCCCGTTAAGAAAATCAACTCAGATTACTGTGGTGCTCCCCACAGCAACAGTTTGCACGAACCCACAGTCCCCAATCCAGTCCGAGTGACCAAGTTATGACCAACTCCAAACATTTTTACGCACAAACGAACTAAAATGTCCAGTGATGAGACTGGTGCTGTGGATCTGCGCGGTGACCGATGACGAGGTCGAAGCCACGAACAGCGAATACAAACACGCGTCAGCTCTTTGAGAAAGCTGACATCTTTCATTTTAACCCCCTCGGTGGTTCTCCTCTACCGAGTACAGTAGAGGAGTGGAGACCGAGGAGCAGGAGGAGGTTGTTCTTTTTTACCTTCAGCAGCGGAGCGCCGCGCACAGCGTCCCCGTCTCTGTGCCATCACGGCTCCTCCTCGGGTTAATAGGACCGAGTGTCTGCGCTGATTCCTCCGCCTAATGTCCGGCAAAACGTCCCTGCAGCTCCTAAGCTTTTCACCAAGAGCTGTGGTTATATAAGCGCTCTCTCTCTCTCTCTCCCCACCCCCCCCCCCCTAGCACAGTGTAAGTGTGTGTGTGTTAGTGGGAGAGAGGATGTAGCGGTGGTGGGTCTTCAGTCTTATTTGCATTGGTGATCTAAACACGTCACAGCTCCTCCACAGAGCAGACAGGAGAACGCTGTCCACCACTCTATTCCTCTCCACTGCATCTTAATGAAGGGCAGATTACCACACACACACACACACACACACACACACACACACTCTTCATTACATCAGTATCATTATTTATAACTAAAACTATATGCTACCATTTCTAAAGGTACTTTAACTTAAAATTACATTTTTTATCTGGTCTCAGAGGTGATAAAATGTTCTTCCACTGACCATCCTGAATATATTATTTAAACGTGGACTGACGTGAGAAGTTTGAGAGAAGTGAACTCCTGTTTACATTCTTACTATCATTAGTTTGCTTTATAAAGATTAAAGCTCTTCAATGGTCTTTAGTGGTTCACAAGGTGCAGTCATGTTCAGTGCCCTTGCCTTACAGCAAGGTCATTGGGACTCGACCCCTGATGGTGACTGATGGTGACTTGGTGACTCGTTTACCTGTTCTCCCAGGATGTAATGGGTTATCTTCAAGTAGTCCGGTTTACTCCCTCAGTCCAACAAAATTAACATGCAAGAATATATTAATTTAAATGTTCAGTCTTAATTGAACACAGGTATGAATGTGAGTGTTAATAATTGCTGCCTGCTGTGATTGGCTTCATCGTTGCACAGTGAACCAGTGAATTCTTACATTTGTCTGATTTTCCTCTTTATGTTGTGCAGTCATTTTTCACTCTCGGTGAATCAGTCCATGATTGGTGAACGTTGTGGTTTCTGGGATTAATGTTACCTTGATGGGATCGTGTACAAAGTTCCGGTACTTTTGCTTTAAAGACAATCAATATATATATCAATATATTTGGATCATTCACATCGTGACAATTTGGTAGACATCCCGAATATTTCAACATATCCATAATGCTTTAGGTTGTTTATTGGCTGTACCTTATGAAGTGGCCAATATGGGCAAAACCACTTTCACAGCACCGTGAACAGATCTTTACAGAGCAAATAGAAGCAGCGCAGTGGTGGATTTGAGAGTGAAGCAATTATTGTAACTGAGTAAGGAGTTATTAACGTTAATCTGATCTAGATTTTAATTTCAAGTTTAAATCTAGTCTGTTATTTAACCCCTTAATGGAGTCTGGAAGATCTAAGTAAAGAAATGTCTTTACGTATTGTTTTGAAGACAATTTCAACCATGTGGGTGATTAAATGTTAGTGAAAAATAGAGGGTGTGTGTGTGTCTAACACAGAACAGAAGGGATATGAGACAGACAGATGTAGTCATCCTAGACTTTCCAACCTTAAATGCTTATTTGCTTCCATCAGTCTTAGACTCAAGGATGTCGTGAGTTGATCACAGATGGGAACGCACAAACACGAGCCACCTGCTGCTCCGTGAAAGGAGTCATGTGTAAAATCTTATTTAAAAAAAGTATTTAATCCCATAATGAAGATACTATTGTCTTCCTTTATCCATAAAGTTTGTGCATGTGATTCTCTGATACTACCCTGGGAGACACTAAACCAAAGCCAGTTATGCTGTCATCCAGTGTCCACTCAGTGCTGTTCCTGAACTAGATGAAGAAAATTGTGTAGAGCAGAGAGTAACTATAGTACTACATCAGGAATAATGAAATACAGAAAGTAAATAACATAAAGAAAAATAAAGGAGACAGAAATGGGTGGACTGAGTAACGGAGCGAAGCTTGTTCGTCATAAATTGTAATTTGCTGTGACTGAGTTGTTTCAACAAATGGCAAGGTGTCCGTGTCCAAGGACAGTTCAGGATAAGATGGATGCTGTTGTCACCCACGGTGCTGATAATGTGTTAGTCACCTTACGTGCATAAAAATTTTGCTTTTCCCTTCTGTGCTTAGTTGCACATTTCATTTGCTCGGCTCTGCTTGGCTGTGCTGTGAAACTGCCTGGAGGCACAGAAATAAACTTCCTAAAAGACCAGAGCTGCCTTTGCTCTTTATTCATGCAGGAATTACACTACAGACTTGGCAAAGTCTGGGTTATCACTCATGTGTGAATATATGGGAAGGTGTATATGGACTGTGCACAGGCAGACTTTGGAACTGCATATCTTCAACTCACCCTCTCTTCAGTGAGTGAGGGAATGTAAGAACTTGTCTCTGTCTCTGGACTGGAGACGTGTCAGTGCATTCCATTTCATTGTTACAGTTTTTATTATAGATTGTTTTTTTTTTCTATTTTCCCCATTTTTGTGATATGGAGCCTTTTTCAGCTTAATATAACAGATTCTTCCTTTTTTTGACATAAATTCCTCTGTTCTGTTCAGACAGGCTCTCAGCAGACCTGTTTTCATTTCCTTTAAACAGCACCTTGTTATCCCAGTAGAAATAATAGTAATAACAGTATGTGGTATATTCATAGTCGAATTATTGTATTTAGAGCTTGAGCTGGCACTGTCACTGCCAATGATTGATATAACTTTCCTATTCTGCTGTTTTACATTAGCGTTAATGACAACTTGCTAAGGAGTTCCACCAGGATCAATTCTTGGACCATTTCTTTTAATTCTGCGGTATCATAACATCAATATGGGCCAGATGCCTCACATAAAAAGCAAAGTCAGGTGAGGAAAAATAACCTTCAGTGGTTATTAGAGCAGATAATCTACACACGTTATATAATTTCCCAATTTATGATGAACATCTCCTGGCAACCCTCTTTATTCATCCAACACATAGTGGCCTTAACTGTCTTGTTGGAAAACAAACTTCTAAAACATGTTATTTTTGTTATTATTTTTTATTTTATTTTTAATTTCTTGTATATTTCAATAATTATCAGTTAACCAGAAATTTGAATAAACCGAAAAACAAAACAAAAAACTATAAAAATACTTGAATGTGAAAAGACTTCCTGGTTAAGATAAATCGAATAAACAATGATCTGATCCCAAAATAAATAAATACAAAAAATACAACTCCAACTAACTTTTTTGGCACTCTTCACTGCTCAGACCGATTACTGTAAACAAACAACAGAAGGCCTACAGATTTTCCACAACCCACTGTACCCATACTGACACATTAATTCACTTCTTAAATCACTTTATTGGCTCCCAGTATAATACAATTCTACTTACAGAATAGCCTTTAATCACAGAATGCTTCGGCTCCCTACTGTACATCTGTCCCGCGTTCTCACGAAGGCCTCTTGCAATCCTCCGTGCTGTTCACATTTTAATAAATTGTGAAGCAGCAAATTATAACACAAGTGGTAAAAAAAGACACAAATAATTTTTCAAAAAACACGAGATGAAAGGTGCACTTTTTTAAATTTATTTTTTGTGGCTACTGTGCTGTAGGTGCCATGTTTCTATAGTAGCAGATTACAGACTCTGGCATTACCATGGTTACAGTTAGTGACACGTGTTGACCAGTGACACGTCATTGCCACTGGCTTGCTAACAATACGGTGGTGTGAGTAATGAGAGGGCAGAAAGCGGAATCCTGTCAGTGGTTTTCTTTACCTGAGCTGCTGGTGAAACGACAGAAGCGAAGTCTCCTCTGCCTCGTGTTTTGAGTGGTCATGCATGTACAAATATTTCCAGTTAGAACAAACTGCTGAATTCCTTTGGGAATCAAATACCTTTTGCTGCACGGATCAAAGCCGCAGTGGTTTTATTATTCAGCTCTAGTTGAGTTTGAGTTTTGTATTTTTAGAATGTGGGGGAAAACAAAAAATAATTTTTCAGGTCTTTTTTGAAACAAAGTGATCTGCAATACACGTCTAGATACAGTTTATATGTGGTGTTGGCCTGGTGCTGCAGGAAGCAGACTTGTATCCAGAAGGTTGCAGGTTTGAATCCAGCAGTCACCATGTGTCAATTTCTTTCACAACGTTTTGGCAAAACCTTATTAAAACCTATGTTAACACATAGTGTACAACTGTAGACAATTCATATTCTAATGGTCAGAAACACACAGACACACACACACACACACACACATATATTATTTTCATTTTTATTATTTTTGCCTTATTAGCAGCTGGCCTTGTTCTACTTTTCTCAGCTAAATACTATTTCCAGAAACCTTCTCCACAACTTGCAAACTGAAGGCCAAGTATCAATACATGTAAAATAGAATTTTTCTATATTTGTGTTGTGCTAATACTGTATGTTCTCCAGGGTTTTAATGTGTGAAACATCTAACATTTTTTAAAGTAATTTGCTAAATAGCGTTTTGTTATTATACACGAACAACTCTTTTTGTCATTTATGTTCACTCCTCTACATTCTGGTATAGATGTGGGATTTTGAGGGCTTTTTCTGTCCAAGGTTTGACCCTGGACTGGTGCGAGTCTATTACTGTTGTCAAAAATATGGCCCAAGGTTAGGATCTAAGAAAGCGTGGTCCCTGAACCACCTTGACAGCTCCTCTTGTAGTAAAACTCCAATTTCATTTATTTCTCTTCCAAACTATGATCCTTTTCAGGGGTGCGGGGGAGTTGGAGCAACTCCCAGCAGCCATGGGGTGAGGGTGGGGTTCACGAATGGACGGTTGTCCAGTCTATATCTGGGCCACATATGAAGACATGATTGTGGTGAATTGACCTTACTTACTCACACTTTTATCTCAATACTACATTACTAATAATAAGTGCTGTTAAAATTAACAGATTAATCCAATAATCTGTTAATTTTGATACAACCTTCTTAAAACATACTTTAACACATACACTGTACACAGTAGTGTGCACGGTACATTTAGTATTTCCACCATCCGTCCACTTAATCTTTGCTTTTACACACAGTCAGTGCAGGTTTCGTTCAAAAATACTGCAAGAAAGAGTTTTTGTTTCACCGAAGTAGCTCATATTTAAAATACATAATATCTCAACTCCCAGCCTCTCAGCCTAGGGCAGTAAGTTAGTGTACAGCTGTCAAGC